CCTTTGTCTTTTGCACCTAATACTTTGACTCATAGTTCAAAATTACAGTTGGATCGATATAATAAAATTAGTGCGAGAATACTGACAAATCTTACTTATTTCTAGTTCAATTGATCTCTCGAATATAGCTGCTGCCATTTACAGCACTGAGCTGTACAACAGACTTCAAGCGTTTCTTGCTGCCTTGCCTCCATCAGGTCCACAGCCACATGTAAATGAGCTTTTAATTGCAGTTGCCGAATTTGAAAGAAACCTTGAATCATGGAACATAAGGTCTGTGAAAGAGATTTGGACCAAAATCCCTCATAGCATACACTTGAATAAATTTTTGCGGTTTGATTTTCTTGAACGAAGTTTCTGTTGTTTTGTAGAATGTATACTTTAAATAATTTCTCATTTCATGTTTTGTTTGCTTTAGTCTAGTGCAGGGTGGTGTTGACTCAAAGCGTCTGTTTCACGATTACATAATGGTCTGGGTACAGGATATGCAACTTAATTTACTTGAACGTTGCAGGGCAGAAAAGGTATAACTTCGCTTCAAGAACTTTTCTATGTAGCATGCCATGTGTAGTCTATTCCTTGATGTTCTTGCTCATGTTAGCGCAAACTTCCACCGAAGGCAATTGTTCAACTGAGGAACTGTGCGTAACTAACGAGATCTGAATAATGATTCAGGTGCCATGGTCTGGTGTGTCAACAAATAGTTCCACCTCACCATTTGCTGAGGATATGTATGAGAATATCAGAGAGACCCTTATTCAATACGAGGTGGTACTCAATCGATGGCCTCAATACTCCTTGATTTTGGAACAAGTGAGTTCTCATCTCATCGTATAGTATTATCAAAGAGCTTTCAGAAATGTCTCTCTCTACCCCCCACCTGGATTCGGCCCTATACATTCATCTAAGCTGTTTTGTTGGCTCTTTGCAGGCTGTAGCTAATGTCGAAAGAGCAATCATAAAAGCATTGGAGAAACAATATAACGATATCTTGACTCCATTGAAAGATGGTATCCAAAAGAGGCTTAATATGCAGGTCCAGAAGCTGACAAGAAGACAATCAGTCACAATCTACACCGTTCCTAGTCAGGTGAGTTCTCCAATTGCAAATTTTCCCATGCAATGTAATGAATTAGATGTTGTAAATATAGGGATTTGGTTCATCTTTTGGTTTAGAGTCCTATTTTGTTTAGGAAGGCTAAGGTGCACATATTCTTGTTCTCCAATGATTAGGAAATAATTAAAGTTTTCTTGCACAATTAGAGTAGGAATCCTAGAAGAAGAATTGGAATAAGAAAGGAAGTGTACTTTCCTATCCCAAATAGATTCGGAAACCTAATCAGATTATAGAAGCGTAAACCACACCTTATACTTATAAATAAGGGTGCGGGAAGGGCCAATAAGTAGTAGAAACCTAGAGAGGTAGCCCAAAGAAAGAGAAGGATTAGTTCCAAGGAAAAATCAGGGAGATAGTTGAGAGAAAGAGAGCGGTTAGTTCTAGGGTTTGCAAAAGTGATGTATACTCTATCATTAATCAAAGAAGCCATGATTTTTCTTCCTAGAGAAATCACAACTGGACGTAGGCAAAACTATTGCTAAGTTTAGTTTATTTCCAGATACATCAAAGAGCGAGATCTTAAGGGGAGTCAAACTCTAACAATTGGTATCAAGAGCTTGGTTCAAAGTGTTCTGCAATGGCAAGAGGAAAGGAAACCATAGACCTAGGAACCTTAAGGCCTGCGTTAAAACCTTTTGATGGCAGCATGACTTCACGGACTGTCAAAGGATGATGAAGAAATTACTGATACAGTAGGAGTTGGATGATGCACTTCTTGGTGAAAAGCCTACGACCATGACAAAAGAGACATGAACCAAGATTCTCAAGAAGGCCAAGAGCTCCATCGAGATCCATCTCACGAAATCAGTTAAGTCTCACATCACAGAAACGTGATTGAAGGAAGCATGGGACGAGTTAGAGAAGATTTATATGGGCAAAACCATGTCCAATAAACTATTTTTTCAAGGATGAACTATTCGGGCTTCAACTAGAAGGAGGTGATAAAGAAGATCATGTATGCAGGTTCCAGAATTGCATAGCCAATCTTCAGAAGGTCGAAGAAACTTTCAAACAACTTTAATGTTTGGAGGGGAGTCCCTGTAGCTTGAGAATGTAATTCAAGCCCTTCAATCATATGCTAAACTCGATGATATAACCAGAAGCTCTTAAGGCTTTTATGCCAAAGCAAATGAGAGGGGGCGGGAAAAGACGACGGAAGAGAAGAACAGCAACATGGGTAGGTCAAGATCCAAGAAGAAAAAGAAAAAAAAAATGAAGGTTGCTTCGAATGTGATTCTGCCGATCATTGGAAGAGTCGCAAGATGGAAGGAGAATGAAGCCAAAATGGAAGGTATTTAAGGTTCAGCTAGCGCAATCACCAAAGAAGAAAGTGATAGGGAGATTCTTTCGGTAACATCAGGCTCCAAGGATTTCACAAAATAGATTTTGGATACTAGATACAAATTTTGTATGTGTGTAGTAAGAGAATGGTTTGATAAAATTCTGTTAGAATCAAGTTGTTGGATGGAGTGATAAGGACTTTGGGGAACGTCGTATATGTCCCGGGATTGAAAAAGAATTTGATATTCTAGGGCAGTTTAGACAAGCCCGGCTATGATAGTTGGGGGTCCAACCGTTTCCACAAAGTAGGTAGACAAAGCAAGGAGTCGGCTGCATTCACTCAGAGGTCTAGGGTCCTGCGCTAACTAAATCCAACTGTGGATCTAGGTATTTTGTTACTTTTATGGATGATTTTTCCAGAAAGTTTGAGTTTATTTCACAAATCAGGATTCCGAGGTTTTTGCAAAGTTCAAGGAATGGAAAACAGGAACCAAAGAAAGAGAGGGATTAATTCTAGGGTTTGCAAAAGTACTCTATTATGAACCAAAGAAGCCATGATGTTTCTATCCATAGAAATCACTACTTGACATAGGAAAAAGTTATGTTGGACCAGCATAAATCTTGTGTGTTTCTAGTTATTCTCTATATTGCCAAGTTAAGTATATTGCCGGATACATCAAAGAGCAACATTCAGAGGATAGTCAGAATTCTAACAGTGTCACTCACACTCACAGATATACATGCCCTTTATGCAAAGGGATCTTTTTTTTTTTTTTCAAAAAAATGGGGATTAGTTGTAGGATCCACTCTACACCGAACTTCAACGATCCGAACTGTTTTTTTTTATAAGTCTCAATTTATAAATCATTCTTACAAAAATTCAATTTAATCCAAAACTATTTGCCTATTTAATTATCACGATGAAATTTCATTATTTCTTATAGAACAAAGCGTTTGTTAATTTCTTTGAACTCAATAAATTTCTTAAATATTTTGTTTGGCTAATATTTTGGATAATCTTTAAGGTGCAACTTGAAAAATAAACGGTTTCGATCATTGAAGTTTAATGTGGTGTGGACCCCACAACTAATCCGCATTTAATAAAACAAATGGGGATCTCTTCACTTAAAGGCATCCCTAAACCCTAAACCCTAAAGGCATCCCTCCCACACTGATACATTTATATGTCGCTGTTGCATATACTAATATGCTTATATATCTTATCGATATCTTGTATTCCCCAGCTCGGAACTTTTTTAAACACCGTGAAGAGAATTCTTGATGTCCTTCATTGTAAAGTAGAAGACATCTTAAAGGCTTGGGCATCTTTTCTTCCTGCCATGGGCGATAACAAGAAGTCGCTGTTCGGGGAGCAGATGAATGGCATTACAGTTCTCTTGAGAACAAAATACAAAAATTACTTGCAGGCAACCGTAGGGAAGCTTCTCAGCAATGTAAGTCTATTCCTCTTGTTCAAATACTTCAACTTCCGTCCAACGGGGTAAAAACTAGCAACGGTTTCTCATATATGATTGCTTCAGGTGCAAGCTAACCGTAATACAACGCTGAAAAGGATTCTAGAGGAAACAAAGGAAGATGATGGAGAGGCAGAGGTCCGTGAAAGAATGCACTCACTGAGTTCACAGCTTGTCGACTCCATCTCCAACTTGCATGAGGTCTTTACAAGCAAAATATTTATCGCAATTTGTCGTGGATTCTGGGATAGAACGGGACAGGTAAATAGAGAGACCTGTATTTCGCGCAACCATTAATCCTAAATCTTCTTAACGCTGACATGTTTCGATTCTTCTGTACTAGATCGTTTTGAAATTCCTTGAAGGCAGGAAGGAAAACCGAGTTTGGTACAATGGATCTTATTATGCTCTCGGGGTAAGTAGCTTCAGATTGAAATCGTACTTAGTTGGTGCAAGAGGCAACTCATTGCAGTACCTTCTAATCTCACTAATGCTTTGTCTGCAGATATTGGACGATATGTTTGCTTCCCAAATGCAGCGTCTACAAGGCAACGCGCTGCAAGAGAAAGATCTTGAGCCCCCTCGTTCAGTAATCGAAGCCCGATCAATTCTCTGCAGGGATACAGAAAATGCTACAGATGCATCGACCTACTTCTACGTTTAGCCGGATGTCTCCTGTTTTTGGGCTTGATGAGCTGCTGTCAGAATGTCTATGTTTGTAGCACAAATGTATGGTGCACAAGTTCTATAGTATTAGTATTCATTCATTCTTATTGATTTTGTAACATTTTATTTTGTCAAATATTCATTTTGTAATTTGACTTTGCATTAAAAGTCTTCATATTAATAAAGGCAATACAATTTTATAGTCTCTCTTCAAATTCTGCCTTGTTCTTCATTCCTTTTCCTTTACTACTGGTCTTTTCTGCTAATCTCACTATGTAAGTGGGAGAAAGAAAAACGGGTTCCCGCGATTAACAAAAACATTACATAAAACAAGTTTACAAGTGTTCCTGCACAATTGAGTCTTGTTTGCAGGGCTGCCGTATTGACGACTGTGAAAGAGATGCCCTATACGGCAGCCCTGCCGAAGAATATCTAACATATGAAAGAAAAAAGGACAAAACCATAAAGTAGCTATCAAATGTAGCCGGTAACTTTCTTCAATTCTGTCAATATAGAATGTAGATGAGTAGCACGACCCCATTCGAGTCATTGGACAAAACAAACCAATAAGCATCAAACTGCATGAACCCAACAGTAAAAATAAGAAAGAAGAGGATTTACATCAAACTATAGGAAAATCAAAATTCATGTGCAACTGCACTGCGTTACGGGTGTTGAATTTCGAATTTTATCCGTCACTCACTCTCAAAAAATAGATGAGACCAGCACGATCATATTCCAGTACTGGTCAACTTCCTTTCCCTTGGATTTGCTGAAGAAGAGCTGCTGCCAACTGTAATGTCGCTTGCAGACGTTTCTGTGGATCTGTTTCTACTGCTTCATTTGTACTCGTGCTTTGCAGTTGTTGGTTTCCCTGAACCGCTGTTTGGACAGTGTGAGGCGCTGCAGACACAGTTGATACCTGCTGTTGCCGCTGCTGCAACTGTTGGACTTGACCAAACTGAGATGTTGATGGCTGTGAATTCACCTCATTATTCTGCATACCAAATGTCTGGGATGTCCTTGGAATGTTATCAGACTCATTCATTGTGTTTCTTTGTCTAAAATCTTCTCCGGTAGCTGGATTTGGAGTTCTCGCAGACTGCCTCTGCTGCTGCCCAAGAGATGATGCCAATTGTGCAAGTTGCTCAGGTTGCAGGGATTCAGACGGCACAGATAAAAAGCCAGGAGATTGGATTTCCTGCTGTGACGAATGGCTGTTTCGAATACGAGAAATTCCACCTGGAATGCTCGACTGTTGTGCTTCCCTTTGCATGATCCTATGCTCCTGAAAAATAGAATCAATGGAACTATTGGGCATTTGGGTTGATTTATTTCTAGTATCCATAATTGAGTTTTGCGGCTTGTGTGAAGACCAGTTTCGCCCCAATGCAGGGCTTTCCATATGATGTGGATACTCGTGCCTGCTCTCGTTGTAAGAATCAGATCCATTTCCAACACCATAAGCTGAACCTGAAAATGACACCGGTGGAGCTGATGTAAATGAATGAATAGATTCTGAAGCTGTTGATGGCTTTGTATATGATGTATCCCCAGGCAATGACAATAATCTCGTGTCTTTTCTTTCGGGTTGTTGGTGTACCGATCCAAAATTGGAACTAGGATTTTCTAACCTCAAAACAACACCGGAGATGCTGAGTTTCCCTGGTACCTTCAGCACTTTCTCTGAGAAGTCTGACGGGGGCACAAGAAACAAGGTATTCTTGTCATCTAACTTAGCAACGGCTGCTCGCTGCTTCTCCCCAAGATAATGCATAAATTCATTGTAGTATCCAATATCAGCATCACTTTGTGGGGCAAAGAACACAACCCAAGCACTTGCTGCTTGATAGTAATGCTTTGAAAGCATGTCTAGACCAGTCCTTGCAGTACAATCCAAAAATTCAGGCCTGCAGCAGATCATTGGTGCTAATAACGGATTAGATCCAACACTATCATGTGTGACGAAACATTAGAAAAAAATTATTTTGTTTTCAGAGCAGATGAACTAGTCTATCTAGATTGCGCCATGTAGTTTGAATCAGACATGAATATCAATAATGTTATAATCACGATGCAGAGTGACAAAGGGAATTAGACCAAACCACTCGACAAAATTACAAAAAGGATTCGATTGTATAGTCTCTACTAATCTATCAATGTAGCTGAAAATGAGATGATTCTGAAATTCAATAAAATTGGGTCACCTACAGATAATCCTCTTCTTACTGGGGAAAAAAACAACGAAAAAGCAAATTAAAACTGTTGCAGCTAATGTTCTGATTATTTGATACATCAGCCGCAATACCAGGCAGCCACAGTTTTATGAACTCTAAAATGCACGGAAAATTAACTGGAACTCTTCCATTTCTGACACATCTAAGTAATTTGTTATGATGTTGATAACAAAAATGCATACTGTGCATTAATAGAAATGGCGTGTTACTGACAGACACGCAACAAGCAAGAAGTTATAGTAATCAGCTACTGTTAAAGATAAAAGACAACAGGCAATATGTAAATATAGCCTTTTCACATTCTTGATTCTATTCATTCTATTCTCTTTTTATCTGGAGAATGATTCTGTTCAATTAATCATGCAAGTAACCAGAAATTGACTTACGCAAAAATATTTTACTACTTACAATGTGAAGTCAAGGAGTTTGCCCACAGGAAAGCAACGAGCATTACAGACAGGAGTTCCTCCCTTTGCTATAGTCCCTTCCCATTTCCACACATTGAAAGAAGGCCGATCGCGTTCAGGAGTGAACCTTCTCCTGTCAACAGGATTTGCTAGCTGAGAACCCGAGCTCACCTGAAAATCATCATAAGATTCTTTCCAGCGGTCACCCCTTTCTTCTAGAGCTGGAGGTAAACTCATTGGTCGATCAGGGATCTGGTTGTAACCAAATGGCCCGCCCTCAAAGTTTCTATTGGAACTGTCAGCTTGGGGAAAATCAGAGTATGACCTAGAAAAGCCATGTCTTTCTGGGTTGTAGTCAGACTGGGGATACTCTGGAAACTCTTTGTTCGAAAGAAAAGACTCTGTCTTCAATTTCTTGGCCCCATGAAATAAATGAATATCTTCTGGCAAGTCCCATGGCTCTTCATAAGGTTGACTTGTCTGAGGAAATCTCTGTGAATAATCATTCAAATGAGAATATTTCTCTCTTTTAGGACTACCCCGAGGATCATACATATCTTCTGATAGTCCTAGTTCAGACCTCATTTCCTTGTATCTCCTCTGTTCAAACATATTGTTTTCACCTCTCCATAAATTCCCCTTCCGCTTAAAACCATAGGGATCAGAATCAACAGCATCAAAATCTGGAAAATAATGAGGAGATCTGATGCTGGGATTACCTGTGAAGCTCCCAAATTTCGTGTCCTCTCGAAAATTCTCAGATGATCCTGAGCGACCATTCACCTGAAAATGAGGGGATGGAGGGACACTCATTGAATTCCTTCCACTATTAGCTGAGCCTGTTTCACTCTTTGCAAAGCAAATATGCACCCGGGGATTTCCAAATAATTTTCCCTGAAGAGCTTCTTTCGCTCTGCACGCTGACACTTCACTCCTAAATCGAACAAAAGCATAAGTACGACCGGGGAATGCAGTGATCTTCTCAATCTCACCAAACGGTGAGAAAGCTTTCCTTAATATCATTTCATCCACCTTCAATAAAGCAGGAAAACCTATCCATAAAACAGCACTAGGCTCTGCATTCTTATCACTCATATTGGATTTTTCCTGATAAAATTGCTCAGGACTATCCTGGCGTGCTCTAAACTCCATTTGATAAAAAGGTGATCCTCTTGGAGCTGTACGTTGTTCATCTCGACGTTGGGAGTAATCTTCTTCACGCGATGGTGCTGATGATTTATCCTGCGATAAGAGATTTATCAAAGTAAGAACAGAACAAGCTTATATATGGACGAATATAGGTTGACTTTAGCTTTGTATCATTAATACTGTCCTGTTTTGTTGATCTTGAAAGAAATATTAAAGTTAACTACCAACTCTCCAACTGGAACAAACAGGTTCAATCACATAAAGATTACTCCAATGACCAATATATCCTGAACATCCTTCTCGACTAGATCATGCATTACGGTCCTTACAGTGAATCTAATTATATTCAACATTAATGATTCTGTTATTCAGTTCCTATTTTTCTTTTTGAAGGTAGCTATTAAACTATAACTATTTAAAGCATCCTCACTAAATTTGCTCTCCACATATTCTATTTTACTTCTACATTATTAAGTAATTAACAAGCCTCATTTTGCAAATTATTTGGAAAGTCTAGTGTAGTAGACAGACACACAACAAAAAATTTCAAACAAAGGCTGATGGACAACTTACTACAAGATGCACTCAAACATTGGAAAACACAGAACAATGCTGCTTCACACACAAAATTAAGCATGCTAAGGTAACTGCTAAATGTGTCTCATTATTCAAATCAGAATCACGGATAGATATCTCAGCACAAGAAGTCTACAAGAACATACTACATCTAAGTACTGTGAATAATATTCTATGACTCGAAACACTGTAAATCATGCTAGCAAGAGTACACAAATACTTGGTCAATAACTGTTACAGATTTTTCACTGAGGGCAATAATCAAGATTGCGAAACCATTAAGAACTGCAGGAATTTAACACTGTTGACCTGGATCAAATTAGTGAACAATAAGAGAAAGCCGAAAGTGCTTTAAACTACATTGGCCTCCCAAGGCCAAGATTGTAAACACAGGCAAATATCTCGCAAGACATGCTTTTATCTGGGGAATTAAGTAATGTGCTCAGATGTTCCAACCTGAAACGAGACTTCAACGTGCTCCAGCTGTACTGATGTACTAAATGGTACACGCCTTATTTCAACTCACATGAACCCATCTTAGATAAGTTCTCAAAACATAAAAGAATAACTGGTCTAAGGCTAGCCTGAGATTTGTATTACAATCATAATTGATACGGAAACAAAAGCCGAAGATAATGGAGGTACCGGAGTAATCTAAAACATGAAGTATCCAGTTGTTACATTAAAATAGTGGATTGGATTTTCACGACAGACTTACTTTTCTTTTTATTTGAGAAAGAAAGAAGTGAAATGCAGATTGCACGAACTCTATTATCAGTAATGATTGTGATGCATCATTCATAAGATCGAAAACGTGAAGGAAGCTCTGTTCTCACTGCTGCATACTTTTAACAGATAACGAATGTTGGAAGTGTGAATTAGACAAAGATTTCTATTCGTTTGCATGCAATCTGCAGTCGTTGGTTGTTCTGCATTTGAATCTGATATATGGGAGCACGCTTGAAAAGAATCTAAACATAATATGCAATTCGGAGCGCCATAGCATCATCAAGTTTTTATAGCATATTAACATACATATGAATTATTAATTCAAACACTAATCGGTGGTTGAGGAGTTGCAGAATATGAATAGCCAACACATGCTAGACATTGGTCTTATCCCAAGAAGCTTTCTTCCTCTTGTGATCTGAGCTACAGCATCCGAATAGGATGCTTCTAACTACTGCATACTAAATAAACAAAATTTGGGGGTGGGCTGGATCTTTCTTTAAACATGCCAAATGCATTGAGGACAAGAATCCATTTCCAAGTCTTTCATGTTTTCATTGAACCGGGCCCAGTCTTGCAGCATGCATCAGCGACTCAATTTGTTTTTATTTTATTAATTGAGTTACACTGTTATTGGAGATACTTGCAGAGGTTGCATAGCAAAATATTATTTCACCCTTGCAAGAGCAAGAGGAGGTGACTATTTATGCTTCTTGTTCAATGGGTTTTAATTTTTTGCTAGTTATACGATCATTTTGATATGATAAATTGGAATTTCAATGTCTCTTTTAATCTTTAGAACTATTATCTAATATATATGGTCACAACTATTTTAAAAAGGTCATTAAGAATTTCTTAAGTTGCAAGGTAGATCGTAAACGATTATGAACAAGAGAGGAAAATTAACAGACAACACAGAAAGTAACATATGGTGAATTCAACCATGTGTATTTTAAAGTCCAAATGTTTCCATGATTAACAAAACGTAGGGTGATCCGTGCTCTCTCAACGAAAAATGTATTGAACTGCAGATCTGATGCTATTTGCTAAAAGCTCTAACACCTGAGTAGTAAACAGATTGATTCCTGAAACTTTTGTCTTGTATGGGAACTAGTCCTACCAAACATAATCTTGACCAATCTCTCAATGGTGGGAACATCAACAACAAATTCTTTAGATTTCTCCCACCCGTCTCTTGATATAATAGATGAAATTTTAGTTTGGGTTTGATAATCGCCCTTTTCTTTTATTAAGTACATTGCATCCCTAACAAGTGTATACAAAAGATGACACTAGCAAAATCTTTCATATGTACTATAAAAAATCTCGCTGTGTGTTTAAAATGCCACCCCACAGTGAATTTGGTGTAAGAGCATACCCTGAAACCTGTTAATTTCACATGAGGCAATGGACTAACAATCACAACTACATTGAAAATTGCTGGTTCAGCACTCAAACCCACCCAACTATAAACACCAGCATAGTTTATGAAATGTGCATTATGACTCCAGATAGACAATAAGAATGACAGTAAGAATTGATAAAAGGGACAAAATGGTGTGCGGTGCCCTTCTTTATTAAGTAGTGATAAATTACTTATGGGAGGTTTAAGAGACGCTAGCCATGGCATAAATGTCACTGCATTCAACATATTTTGCGGTTAAATTAAACCTCAACTAGCCCAACTTGTAGATGGCTTCCAGCTACTCTTATGGAAAGATACAAGGAAAAAGTCCAGGGCTGTTCATCCTTCATAGATAAGGTATGCAACCCATAATTATTATGTTACGTCACAAGTTTTGTCATTAAACATTTGGAAAGAAAAGAGCTTTTGGTTTGCATCCCCTTGCATGTGTTCACCTTCAAAGAATTAATCTTGAAAGTTCAAATGTGGAATGCTAGGAATGGTCACGACGAAAACCGTGGAATGAGCAGAGGACATGTGCCTCGATTTAGCCTTACATGTGCTCCCTATTAAAATAAAGGGACTTATATTTTTGTTGTTGTACACATTAGCATTGCATGTCAGCTTTATGATTATGCTGGAAAGGAGTATCTTATACTTACGGATGTAATAATTTTTGTGGATTGTGGCATTGTTACAATCATTATGCATTTTTCATGGAGCATTTTGATTAGCTGATTAGACATCATAATTTGGTAAACTGTGGAATATATTCTTGCTCAAAATCAAAGATAACGGAACAAGACAACTACCATGGCCTTCGATTCAGATAACCAACTTATATTATACACAAACATACTCAGTGCACACTTACAACATCGCATATATTTACAACAAAGATAGAAAAATAGCATCTTGAATAAAAAGTAACTAACCGCCTTGGTAAACTCGATCCTCAGTGGGTTGCCTGCAACAGGAAGATCCTGGAGGGAATCCATGGCAGCGATTGCATCATCTTCCCTCTTGAACTTAAGAAAGGCATAACTCCGGCCGGGATGGAAGGCTACGCTTTCTAGCTCTCCAAACTGCAGAAAGGGATTAACGAGATCTTCCTCCACGGTACTATGAGAAAGGTTACCAACCCATAGGTTCCTGGAAGGCGGAGCTTTCCCACCTTTGGAGTCCAACCGCCGCAGCCCGTGCCCACCGCGACTCTCCGGAAACCGGTCCCTACCTCCACCTCGACCCGCCTAATCATCCAAAAACCGAAAATCCGAATCCATGACAAAGCACAGTAATCCATGAACTAGTACACGATTTTATCGAAAATAAATCAATTTTCTACGGTTTGTGAGATTGAATTGATCGGAAACACTTACCATAGTAACTTTACAGTGATTCCGGCGACGCTTTTTGGAGTGTGAATCGATCGAAGCCCAATGCCTTCTGAAATTCTTCAATCTACTTGGAGCAGTGAAAGATTGGAGAAGATAGTAGAAAATCAACTCTGCCACTCTCTTCTTCTTCTTCTTCTTCTTCTTCTTCTCAGCCTCTCCAAGTTTGCAGTTTTATAATTAGGGTTTTGGAATTGGGATTTTTTGATAGGGTAGAATTCCCCGGGCCGCGGTAAAGCGGGCGATGATGATATATTTTTATTTTTTTTTTGTCGAAATAGTGTGTGATGATGATTGGCCACGTCGTTACCAAGAATGGCTGTCCTGTGCTCAACTGAAAACGGATGTGTAAGATACGGGGCCAATTGGTAAATAAGGCTAAATATAAAATGTCGTTTTCGCCCTTATATATTACAAAATGGAAAGATAACCATATATCCGGTTGAATTGAACTCATGCACGACCCCTGTTCAATTTAATGAATTGTTTTCGTTTGATTTATTTAAGCTACTTATTAATAAAATTATTATTGTAATTCTCTCATTAAAGGTAAATAAAAATAAAGGATATGATAATTTAGTAATTACACACCACTCAAACTTTCAGTTTTTTACACAAACCTCATAGCTAGGTAAACATAACAGATCTATTTAAAAATATAAGATAAAATGAAAAATGGAGGAGGTTTTATTTAGGTTTTTTTTATTAGCACCCAACTAAGTGTTGAATAAACCTCACATAATATTTTATTACTAAATAACTTATATACCCTAATATGCAATTACTATTTAGGCCATATATGTATTAAAAAACAAAAATTATTTTCTGAATACACCCCAACTATTTGTCAATATGTATTCTAAGATTGTTTTCTTTCAAGCTCTTGAATATACTCTCACCTCCATTATAAAACAAAACCCTAACTAAAAGCACAACATAGTTAATGAAAAAAAGAGGTTAATTTTGACGAATGAAACATGAAATCAATGTTTTGGAGGCTTCGACGTCGTCCATAGCTCTATCACTTGGGTATTGACTACAACATTTGTATAATTTGTAACTTCGATTGATTCCAACATCTATATCATCCGTAAGTTTGAAACTAAAATGTCATCTCAAACTTTTGTATTATTAGAATTTAAAAAAAAAATGCATGTGCTTATATATTTCTTCATAAATACATCTCCTGACATACATTTTCCTTTGCATGAAAATCATTTAAAATCGCTAATTGATATGCAAAGGGAACTTTTGGGTGGAGCTTTAGATACTAGGCATGAATCGTAACATTAAAATTTCTTCTTTGATGCTACAGTTGCCCAGAAATATTCAAACATAAAATAAGCAAGAAAGACAACATGGGCATATACTTCTTCTCATAATGTGATCCACATATTTGAGAAATCTATGACTATCTTCTCCCCCAAAACTCTAGCAAGTTCTTCGCAGAAAAACAAAGCATAAAAAACTATTTGAATAATTTAATTAAGGAAGAGTTTGATTGTAGGGTTTAAGTAGGGTGTGAGGTTTATGTAGAGGGGTGTGGGGTGTAAGGGTAGTATTGGAAAATAAGTGGGGTGTATTAAGATAATTTTTTAGTTAAAAAGTAGATGTAGGGTGTATGAAGCATGTGGAGTGTAGTCAACAAAATATGGGGTGTTAATAAAACAAGCCTTTATTTATTTATTTATTTAACTCATGTCTCCGCACTTCAAAACCACCCATAACCCCTTCTTCAAAGTCCACGCCCAATTTTTTTTTTTTTTAAAAGAAGTGATATAAATATTTTTATAACAAACATAGACAAATTTAATTACACACGTATAACGTGTGTGGATAGACTAGTTAAATATGATAATCACAAGTAAAGAGGACTACATGAAAGACTAAAAATGATGTCTGAAAATTAGTTTCCTTATCAAAATCATTGGCTTTTCCAATTGGTCGATTTTACAACTTCTTGAATTTTTAAAGTTTGAGTTGCAGTTGCACCGTCTTGATTGTCTCGTTTTGTCTCAAAATCTCAACTGAATCGATTGCAATGTAACAATTGCAGTTCGGTTTGATTTTAACAAATATCCCTAGGAAAATCAAACATAGCTAATTTTGAAAGATTTGGTTCGGGTGGTTTGGACTTGAGTGAGTTGAGTCCACTCCTCCACCCCTTAGACCAACTCTAACCCTTGGAGTAAGTCTTAAATTTTCCCTTCTATTCCCCCCCCCCCCAATAAACCCTTGTTCTAAAATTGGGTTAAGTGTTAGAACCTAAAAAAACCCCAAATACCAATAAAAAACCCCAAATACCAACCAAGATTTAACCCAAAATTAATGGTGGAGCCCACATGTGAGAGTGAAAAAACTAATGTGAAGCCCAAACGCCCAAAACTCACTCTCGGACGGGCCAAATGCAGCAGGCGCAGCACCAGTTGGACCCCACCCACGTGAGCATGCCCCGCGTGTCAGATGCCATAATAGCCTAACAACTAGTTTTTGTGATCCAACGACCACATTTAAATGGGCCGTTGATTGATCCAACAGTCCACGTTCAATTTTTTTTTATATTTATATATTTATTGAATCCAATGACTGAAATCAAATATAACCAAATCTAAAAAAAAAAATCTAATGGCCCAAATTTAAATCTAATAGCTAAAATAATTATAAAAAAATATTTAACTCAAAATTCACCAAAAAACTCTATAAATACCTATGCTTATATAGAAGATGATTGAAGGTTTGCGTTTCATGTGTGTAGGTTTGTGTTTTATGTGTTTTGATATGTGTTTCGTGTGTCTCATGTGTTTGGTGTGTTATACATCTCTATCATGTGTTTTGTATGTGCTTCATATGTGTTTTGTGTGTTTCATGTGTTTTGTGTTTATACATCTCTATCATGTGTTTCATATTCTTTCATAGTGTTTCACGTGCTTCATATTCTAACATGTAATTATCCTAAAACCGACATGCCATCAACTTTCAAAGGGTACAATTTGTACCTTCAAATTTTGGTACAATTATAAACTCATACCTTATTTTTAAAGCATTACAATGTCATACATCCTTAATTTACTGAATCTTTTACATTAGACTATTACCATTCCTATTTTTTGAGCACCAAATTTAAACTTTTTACCCTATAATATCCATCTCTCTCTTCTCTGCTCCAATGTGGCATTGGGACAGAAATACATACATCCACTGGCTTCCGAGGCAAACTAAGGGAAATAGCAACACATTCCCGGGCATCAGGTGTACTAATTTCGACATGGAAAACTATCCGGCATTACCAAACAAGTCACTCTCAATCGTCATGATTCCGGGAGTCCAGCCGGCAAAAACCTCGCTTCTTCAGTACATGACATCGGCTTTGCGCATTAGTTGATCACCCGCTTCGATGATTCAGTTACTGCTTCGGGTTCTGGGGCTTATCCTCTGCAGAGAAAATGTGCGTCAAGTCACAAGTAGGAAACATACTAAACACAGAGAGATAATGTGCTGCATTCTGTTGAATTGAATATGCAAGCAGAAAAAACAATCGTTCGAAACTGTAAAAAGTCGGATCAATTATCCACGGGCCACTTGAGAGAAAATTAAGGAGGGGAGAACTCACGAATCGCTTTAGGATCTCTATGTACAAAGAAGCTCGCAGCGACGATAATGTAGCAAAGAATGAGCATTAGTCCTTTGAAGTAATTAGATGTTCCCTCCTGCAAGTTCAATTTCAGCCCATTTAGACACATTGCACAAAGGAAAAATGGTCGCTGTAGCGCCCGCTGACACAAGGAAACACGGCACAAACCCTGAAATTCATGTGTATCTAGTGCGTTTGTGCACAAAGAACCTGAAGTATTTCCTATAAAAGCAATCAAGTAAGAAATCGAAAGATTTATGATTTGCTCAAATGACGAACCTGCAGCATGAAGGCTACCACCAGAACAGTTATGAAAAGCGTCGCTGTCTCAAACAGTTGGAAATCTAAGTCCATAGGGCACCCCATGCACCACCCAACCACCACACAAAACGGAATCTGCAGCAATCGAAAAGGAAACCATCATGACATCACATTTATGTACTGCAGAGATAAAATCATCGTAAAATGTCAGTGTAAAATTCATATGTATGATAGTTGGTACTCACTCCAAACATTGAGATCTGCGTTGATGAGCCTATTGCCACACCCAAAGTAATATCCTGCATCAAACATTAAGCCAACGTCCACAAGGAAGCGATGATAAGTCATGAGTGATTGTATTTAAACATGGAACCGACAGGACAACCACTTACAAGCTTGTCTTTCATGGCAAACATAACAGCACCAGCGTGCTCTGCTGCATTTCCAACGATTGGGAGCAGAATAACACTAATAAATGCAACCGGGATGCCCATTGCAACAGATGCACCCTGAGAAAAAAAATTACAGAAACAACACAAGAGATTCCTCACTACAAACCCCACAAAAATACTATAAAAATTTCACATCATCCAAAACTGGAGGATAAGACAATGATTAAACAAGAATGTTACCTCTATAGCGTTAACTAAGTATTCCGAGAGGACTGAAATCCACGCAGTCAGAATTGATAACCATATTATGGATTCCCACTTAGTGATCTCAGGAGCCTCTTCCTCATCTGAATTTTCTTCGGTCTGATCCTCTGCCTGGTATTGAACCAAATTCATATACACCGTTAGATCACATAGAGGAGAAATTGCACAAACACCACTTAGGGGTGGTTTGGGAGTTAGGTGCTTAAAAAAAAGCACCCATGAAAAAAAGCTGTGAGGGTTTTAGGTGTTTGGTAAACTAAAAAAACTGGCTTATTTTGGAAGCTGTGAGAATAAGCTTAAATCAAAGGAAAAAGCTGAAGCTGTTATTTGCAGCTTTGGAAAACTGGTTTTTTTTCAAAGCACACGGAGCTACAGTGCTCCTTTAATGAAAAGACCAACTATCAGACTGTTTTTTTTTTTTCCAAAAGCACTTTTACAAAAAAGTTTACCAAACACTTTGCTGATTTATTTCACAGCCGCTTATTCTCACAGCACAGCTGCTTATTCTCACAGCAGTTTTTTTTCAAAGTACCAAACCAGATCAAATTCATCATACTTGAACAGTGAAAGCGTAAGAATTAGTAACACGGTTTGAGGTCCGTATTGGCAAAGACTTGTACCAACCTGATTAACTGGAATATACAAATTATGCTGGCTTCTCAATTGGAAAAACAGAAATGAAGCATAGGCGACGAGCATAATGCAGCTAGTGAATCTC